GTTTTCAATTGTTCAATTTTCTGAGTCAATTTAATAATTTCTGCTTCTTGTTGTTTAATCTTATCTAACAACTCTTGCTTCTGTCTTTTACCTCACTCTTCAGGTTTCTCTTGAAACTTGGCTACTTCTTCTCTTTCAATTTCCAATGCTTCTTCAGTCTCATTTAATTGTTCTTGTAAGGAGTTTATTTGTCTTTCATAAAAGGCAGACTGGTTTATTTCTTCATAAGGTAAGAGGGGGAGTTCCTTCTCTTCAAGTCTTCATTGTTTCTAATACAGTAGCAATCATTCTTACCAGTAACAATATCAAAATTTAACTTAATTTGTAATCTACCACACCTATTACACTTTAACAATTCATCATTCCAATACTTTTCTTTGCACCTTTCACAAACCATGTCATCTGAAATTCATTCCCCACTTTAGTGTGAGACCTTATTTGATGAACAGACTCATTGTTTCTGTTTTCAAGTTTAGAACAAAAATCGCAAGTTTTTTTACTTTCTTTTTTCCAATTCTAAAACTGTGTATTCCAGTTCTCTCATTGTAATCTACTCATTATTTAGACTTTACCTCTACTTGAGCAATTGTTTCTTGGTTGTGAAATTTTTCTTTTTTGATTAGACTTTGCAGTTTTTGAATCTTAACCTTTGCTTTTGTTTTTAATCACTTGAAAATGCTTTGCTTAGTTAGAATCTTATTTTCTTCTTCAACAGGTAAAGGTTTGCTGCTAAGTAATCTAACCTTTTTAGACTTTCATTCTGTGATTCACTATCAGCAAATTGCTTGCTTAGTTTTTCCAACTTTTCAACTTGAGTTTCTAGATGAGAAATCTTTTCACTACAGTCAGACCTCCATAAATGCACCCTCCATAAATGCACACCCTCCATAAATGCATGCTAAGTCTTGGTCCCAACCTCAGGACTTAATGATAAATGCACACCCTCCATACTCTGCACTGCACAGTATTTTTTCAGTCCCACTCATATGAAAACTCCCTCCATAAATGCACCCCACATGACTAATTAAAGATGTTAGCCAAAATTATTTCACTTAATAAATGATCATCACCAAATCCGAAATGCCAAAATATTTTTTCATAGTTGCCAAAATTAATTTTATTAATTGCCAAAATTATACTCAAAATTATTTGAACACTTTAACTCAATAGCCAAAATTCTGGGTGGTTTTTTTATGTCCATCATTATGAAAATATTGTAAATCTGAAATTGCCTGCCGAAATTGATTTTTTCAAAAACCATTTCGGCTAACATCTTTAGTTGAATTTCTATTGTTAATTACTATTAGGGTTGATTATAAAAAGCTTTTATTAGTATAGTAGTAGTATGTGAGTACCATTAATATATTATGAGACAGGACCCAGAGCAATATATATATATATATAGGCAACTTCGCAGGTTTGCGAAATATTCAATGACCTCACATGTTTAATTTGCTTATTTTTCAAGTAAATTGGGTCGATTATTACTACATGAAGTAAAAATACTTAAATTGACATTTTTATCAAGTCTGTGTGAAAATATTGTAATGAGCGATTTTTAAAATACCCATATTGTGCCCATATTACTACAACTCGAGAAGGTTTGCATTTGTGGTACATATTTATAATTGTGCAGATCAAATATTTAAATTAAGAAAAAAATGGAAATAAATTGGAATAATGCGATATAAGAGCTATAAATATTATTATAATATAAATTTTAAACTATATAAAAATGTATAGATGTCATAAACACCATCGACGTCATTATTTTGGCGACTTATATAAAAAATTTCATAACCCTATTCGTAACAAACCTCACAAAGTCTTAAAATTATTTTCCAAGTTAAACCTAAGAGAAAGATCAGAAAGCTCTGTCTTCCCATTCACTGAATCTGAAAGTGAAATAACACCAAACACTGTCAATGCAACATTTTCAAATGGTGATGAAATACCCATAAAAGTGCCTACTGAAAGATTCATAAAGAAATTAGTAAAGAAGTATAAGAAGCAAGAACACATAAACTCTGACAACGCATTCTATTTGTTCTTATTAACTTTACAAAATAAAATTGAACATGATCACAATTACAAAGAACTTCGTTCTCAATTTATGAAAGAAATTGCTTTAGTCGCTTCTATAACTTGGAGGAATTGTCCTATATATTATAAACAAGCTTTTGTGAGATTGGCTTCCAGTATCTCTTCCTCAAATGATACAAATGTCAACTTTTCTTTCGCTATATTTTGTAAAACTTTTAATAGATTAACGTCTAGAATAAAAAAATCTTGATCATTTTATTAATCATTTTACATTACATTCTTTATCTTTATTGTTATAGTTATTAATAAAATTTAGAAAATTATCTTTTAATTTATTAATTGTAAAATCACATGACCAATCTTTTACTTTGCTAATTAGTTGAATAATGTCTTGCATTAAATAATCTAAACCTACTGGTGAATGGAAATCAGATTCAACTAATAATCTATCCTCTGGCACAAAGTTTATCAGATCGTGCAATCTATTTGACAATCTTTCATTTATAACCTTACTAAAACTAAAATAACATTCTATCGATAATAATTTACTCTTTTTATTCTTTTTAGGACTGTTGTTTAAAGATAATAAAAGTTTTATTGTATCAATTGATCCGCAGAATGAATGAAAGCATATTTTCAACTGTAAATCATTATTAATACTGTCAATTTGTTGAGTATTTTTTTGTTGTAA